ATAACATAAACACATAACATAAACATAACTTTGGGACTCCGCCCAGCTACATCGGGATGAACCCGGCATCGCCCCGCCCGACATCTGACCGCATCGGGCATCGGGCATCGGACCCCGTCCGGCATCGGGCTTGCCCCGACATACATACAACACATCATAAAAAAATAAAAATAAGCATATAACTTTCATCGGGCTTGCCCCAACATACTACATATCATATAACATAAGCACATAACATAAGCATATAACATACATCGGGCTTACCCTGGCATCGGACCGAAGCTCGGAACACATAACACATAACATATAAGCTAACATGCATCGGGCTTACCCCGGCATCGGACCGAAGCCGGGAACACATAACACATAACATTTAAGCTAACATGCATCGGGCTTACCCTGACATCGGACCGAAGCCCGGAACACATAACACATAACATGCATGAATCACAAAGACATCAAGCATACATATACTCTTCTCGGGACCACCCCGGCATCGGACCGTAGTCCCGAACTACTAACATCTAAACAGGTCGGCATTATGGCCATAGACTCGTTCCTACTGGAAGAGGACTCACCTCACACTGTTGAAGTCCCGCTGACAAAAAACCCTAGCTGTTGGATGACAAATTCCCGAATCTGTCAACATCAAAATAACACCCAATTAATAATTGGGTCCCCAACACATATACATAAGTCAATGCTTGGGGTAAAAGACTACTTTACCCCTAAATTAGCTTTACTCAAGCTCAAGGCCCAATCCAAAGGCCCAAAAGTCCAATAATGAACCAAGGCCCAACTATGGCCCATTTATGGCCCAATTTTCCAAATTGGGCCCAAACCCTCATATGGGCCTTACCCTAAAGCCCATCTAAATATTCTACTCCATATGATCATTCTTGGATGGCCCATTATTGGCCCAATTACTAAAACCCAATAGAAAGGCCCAACTCAAGGCCCAAGTGAAGATAGGGTTTCACATAAAATGACAATTAGGGTTAAGTGTTTCTCAATTAACCCATTAAGGACTTAATCCATTAAGTCCATCACTCTACTAGATAAATCATATGGTGTGATTGGGTGTAATTCACAATTCCATTCCAATGGCCCAAATGTGGGTCCCAATAAGTCCAAGGCCCATATATCCAAAATTAGGGTTTTCTAAACCCTAATTAGGGTTTCCCATCCAATAATAGCCCAATAGGCCCAAAACTAAATCTTTAAGCCCATTAGGGTTTCATTAGGTCAAATTAGGGTTTTTGCTAGTCGGGCACCACCCACTACCACCTCAGGTAGTGGTGGTCAACGGCGACTCACGGCGGCGGCCACCACCTTATGGTGGTGGTTTTGAGTTTCTTTTCATTATTCTTTTTGCTAATTACAATTACAATGCTTTAATCCAAAATAAACACACACTAACTAACATAAACACACACACACAGCCACCTTGTGGTGGCCGGCGGTGGCACATGGTGGCAGCCACCACCTCACGGTGGTGGTGGTCGTCCTACGAGAATTCTAGCCAAACAACACCCAAATACCACTTCACTATAATAGGCACACACACTACACGAACTTGAAACTGCAGCACTCTCATACTCACGTGAAACACGAACACAGCAGCCCTTCGGGGGGTGGCGACTATGACCGGAGTAACAGAAATGAGCCACACGGCGGCGGTCGCGACTGAGAAATAGCAACAGCAGAATTAATGAGGAGGATGAGCAGAGAACACCGTGAGACGAAGCAACGCCGACAGCAAGGAATAGAAAAGAGAGGTGGCGATCCAATAGCGAAGGAGCGGCGGCAGAATGGCGCTGGAGGCTGACGGTTCACACCGGCGACACATGGTCAGCTGATGACGATAGCTGGATGGAGTCTCGACCGGTCGGAAAGGTAGGAGGTCGGGTGGTTGTTTGGTGGCCGCTAGCTGGTCGGAGAACGGACCAGATGGGTGGGGACGGCGGCCGGTGGCTAAGAGGGATAAGGTGGCGGCTGTTGGGAGAGTTACGGTTAGGGTTACGTAGGGCATATATACCAGGCTCCTTCAAACTCTATTCCATGTTGACACTATCGGCCCCTCATTTCCAGATTCATTTTCAAACATAGTCCTTAGTTTACCATTTCAACCCTATCTTCTGAAATCCCTTACAAATTAAGTCCCGTATTTTATTAAGCAGCCCCTCCCTCTACAATTATTTTCAAATGAGGTCCATAATTTAATCTTTAGCCCCTGTTTTCATAAATCCTTTTATATTAGGTCCAAATGATACCAAACGCCCCCTGACTTCTAAAAAATCTTTACAAAATAAATCCCGGAACTTACACGTTTAACCCCCAATTCTAAAACTGACAATTAGCTCCTCGAGACCAACACCTTGCTATGTAATTATTGATTTAGGGTTACTATTTATTTATTTATTTATTTATTAAACGGGGTGTTACAAATGACTTATGATTTTATGTGATGATTTGATAACTATGGTTTTTCTAATAATTGAAAACAAAATTTTTGGACCGTATTTTTGGGATGTTTCAAGAATTCTATAAAAGACTACCATTTTCTAAGCATAAAAAGAAAAGTTTTTTTCAAGCCTAAAATTAGGGGATATCACACGAGTAGTTAAAAGGTTAAGTACTAGAACGTTAGAATATGGTCTATATGGTAATATGTAAAGTTACGCAATGTATGAAATGTGATAGCGTTGTATGATAAGAGTATTGTGTAATATGGATGGAAAAGAAATATGGTCACGGACCAGTGAGATCCTGCACCTGCAGGGGTGGTGCTTACCATTAGGAAGTAGGGGTCTAAATGACTTGTTAGAAAGGGGTTACTTCCTAGTAAAGAAGACTTGTCGGGAGGGATTACTTCTGACAAGCGGCTGTCAGGATGAGCTTATTTCTTGGTAACTGTAGAACTTGTAGAGAGGGTTTATTCTCTATCAAGGGCTCTGCTAGGAAGTTGTTACTTCCTAGTAGGGTAGGTTGTCAAGGAGGGGTTACTTCTTGGCAAATTCTTGTTTTGATATCATGTTTGGATTAGAAGGTTATAACTTCTAATAGAATGAGAGAAGGTTGTAAAATTCTATTCATTTTATTGTGGTTATTAATATTAGTTTGTAACACCAACGATTGTAACTCTGATAAATTGATAATTTTTTTTGTAAATCTATATTTTACCATGACACTTTATCACGACATTTATACAACCACGGTAAATTATGTAATGAGAAGTACTGGAAAACTTAATAGGATTTCAACACTCCTAATGATGCTTATAGTTGACAAGTGAATTCTTAATCGATTCAGAAGGAAGGAGGTATTAGGAGTTTAGATTTAGAATAAGGTGAGTATATACTCAGAGTACATGTCCCTATCACTTATTTGAAATATTTGAGTATATACTGAGAGTACATGTCCCTATCACTTATTTTAAACTATATATCTACTTGATTGATATGTAGCATTATGACATGTTTGTGCATTGCATGAAAACAGAGTTTGAACATGTTTGAAATGAATCAAGTAAACTGATTTTTGAAAAAATGATTTGAGCTTGGTTTGGAACATTGGTTGAGCATCCTTAATATGCATTAAATATATGATGGATTTGAGAGTGTTTGTGACAAATGAGTGATTCCTTATAGAACAAAGGATCAAAAATCCTAAATTGAAGGGAGTGATTCCCTTGAGTTGGACGAAATCAATTTCCTGGAATCGTAAGCTACAAGCTTAGGGATAGAATTTGTAACTCCATTCCATGAAGGTTATGGTAATGGTCACATGACTCTATAAAGTTTATCTAAATGAGTGATTCCTATTTATATGACCTTCGTCCTCATAAATTGATTCATTTTTTTGAGTCAATGGCAACGGATTGGATTAGCATGAAGTGTCAATTTGGTAGAGTCTAAACCATTTGTCCCTTAAAAATAGAGGGGTTTATTTGAGAGTATGGGATTGGGATGGGTTAGTTACATAAGCATCCCATCTTTGATTATGATCATATCTACTCATAAGCTTATAATTACTATTATGAAATGACTTGTGAAATGTAAAAAAGATTTTTGGAAATGAATTGTGATATAAGGAAATGGTTTTGAAAAAGGTTATTAATCTTGAAAAGGATTATTCAAATGTTTTTGGAAAGCTAGATTTAGGAATTGGGTTATTGTGATTACCCAATCCACTCCATAGTCGGATTCTGGTATTACTCACTAGGTTCCACAAGCCTAACATATTATTTTGACATGTACTAATAGATAAGGTTGAAGACTAGTGACGCATGTGTGGACATTTTGAAGGTCATGCATATGGTAACTTTTGTGAAGATATTTAATTGAAACACTCATATTTAAACCTTGATTTTAAACTGTTATTTGGTTTGGGACCAAATTTCGCATGTTGTTTTCAAAATGATTTTAAAATTTTTTACTTAAAACTATTAGCCGAATCTATATTATAATTAACAATATTATTTCACATCGGTCATAAAACATACTCTCACAATTAACCATGAAAACATATTTTGTAAATTAAGTCAAAAAGACGGTTAATATCTTTATTAAGTCCATTAAATGAAATAGAAACAAAAACTCTGATACATTTTTTTAGTGTTGAAGTTAATGTTAGTATTCACATTTTTTAAAAATTAAATAAAAAAATAAAAATCTTAAAGCTAATTCTTCAACTTAAAATTTTGATTCATCAACCTAATATACATCACCATTTCAACTATCGTACAAATCAATAGAATATATATTTTATGTGAATAGATCAATTTATTAAATGGAAAATCGGTTACAATAACTACTAAGAAATTTTGTTACTGCAATTCCCAAATCACAACTGGCTAGCGGCACTTATGAGTTATGATCTATTAAGGCCCAATTTCATGGAGGGCAGAATGGTAAACTCAGTCCATAAGAGGTGGCATCCAAGTCGACAGTCGACACTCCTATATCTGATTTCTGCTGTTCACTTGTCATTATCATCCATTCAATGCTACCGCTTTCATGAAATTTCAAGTCACTCTTCTATTAATTCGTCTAAAAAATCTATGACATCAGATCCTAATTGACTTTAATTTAGGATCTTTCATCCATTATCAATGCCCTTGTATAAATATATAAAGAGAAAAAAGTAGACACAAACATAAGGATCGAACCTCAGAAAAGTGTTCACAATTTACAGAAAATGGGTTTATTGTCGTTGTTTGAGGTTGCATCAATGCCAATATTGGAGGTGTTGTTACTTAGTGCAATAGGAGCAATTATGGCTACTGATTACTTCAATGTTCTCTCTAGCGATACTCGAAAATCACTAAATAGGGTACGTACATACATGTTATAAAATAAAGCACGTATGGTAAACTGTTTTTATGTTTCAACCCCACGATATTGTCTATAAGAAAATGTAACTTTTTGCAGATTGTTTTTGTGGCGTTTACTCCCTCACTTATTTTTGCTAGTCTTGCCAAGACAGTCACCCTCGAAGACATTATCTCATGGTAACGTAATTAAGAGATTATCTCATTGTGCATGATGAGAATGATGATTATGTATATATCAATAATATATCATGTTGCTGTGAATTAATCTTGTAGGTGGTTTATGCCAATAAATATTGGAATAACATTTCTTTGTGGAGGAATATTGGGGTGGATTGCAGCAAAACTAATTAAACCACAACCACATGTAGAGGGCTTACTCATAGCTATGTGCTCCACAGGTACTTATATAACTAATATTTCTCATTTTGTTTATCTATATATAACTTCACCAAAACAAAACTTTTTACTAATCAAATGTAAGGATTTTTTTTCTTTTAATTATCTTAGTAAAGTCTCAACCATTTGAACAAGTCTAAGGGAATATAATTTTATGACAAAATTACATAAATGGTCCATGTAGTTTACCAAAAATCACAAACTCAATCTCTTCTGATTTGTTTTGATACAAATGGTCCCTATGGTTTCAGTTTCTTATATGGATCCATGTAGAAAGATTTTTCTACCATTTTTAATTTCTTTTCTCATTTATTTAATGCTAACTATAGTTTTTTTAATATAAAAAAAGAAAAAAAATAACCCACCCACCCTACAATTTTATCCAACGACTTCGTCTTCATTAAGGCTGGTTGGAGTTGGGGCCGCTAAGACCTCGCTAGCCTCGCTAACACAAGGCAAACACCGCCCCTTAGCATGCGCTAAGGGAGGTGCTAAGCAACACTCGTTACCATCTTAACGAGAGGAGAGAGACCTGGATTGGCTTGCTTGTGATCGGTGTTTTTCTTTGTTTTTTCTTTTGTTATTTATTTATTTATTTATTTATTTATTTATTGCATCAGGCTTTTTGATTGGTTCTTTTTCATTTGACTTTTTTTTTCTTTCTAAAATCCAAGTGTAGATGAAAACTTAGGTGGAATGTTAAAATATGATGTGGCAATATGTTTAGTATATGCTAAACATGCTACCACTCCCTATAACCTAAAGTTAAAATAAAACTATTAGGCCACTTGGAGTGGCTTCGACAATCGGTTCGACTATCTCAGCAAACTCCGGGCCGAGAACTCGGCCTGTCGAGTTCGACTCGGCAACTCGGTGGAAACTCGCCGATGAGAGAGAAAGAAAGAGGGTAGAGAGAGATGGATTTCTTCGATGAATTCGCTATGTACGCTTCTGTAGGAAGAAGATAACAGGATTTGCAACTTTGGCAGATTCAGTCGCTGCAATTTCGTGTAATGACAGATATTTCCCTATAATTGAAATATCTCTTCAAAACTAACTTCAAGAAATTGCACAATACCCCCATGTACTTCTAAAACCTATTTATTATTATTATTGTTATTATTATTATTATTACTATTATTAATTTAACCCCCTTGGTCTTTCATTATTTTTTATGTTAATTAATTAGGAAAAAAATTAACATGGCAAGTGTGGCAACCCATGCCATGTAAATGGAAAAAATTTAAAGTAGTGTGGCAAATCCTATGTGACGCCTACGTGGACTGTGACAAATTTGACACCACTTCCTCCGGCCTTAATGGCACATTTCTCTTTGGGAATACCAAGAGAGTTACCAATTTATGTACATTTGAGAGTGCTTCCATTATCAAAAGTTAGAGGTACTCATAGTGTTTAGAATTTTCAGATGAATTCTAGTTTTTAACGAGCTTCAAACAAAACCCATGAACATAAAGAGTTGTACTTTTCTAGGTAAAAGAATGTGAACCCATTAACTCGTATTTTTTTCCACAACTATGGACACCATTAAATTTACCTCTACATCTTGAAGCATGCTCTACAATTGTAGAGTTTTTCTTAAGCATTTCAAAAAACACTTGGTGATTGGTGAAGATGAAAGTGAAGTTATAGGACTCCGGAAATATGTCGTCCAACAAATTCTACCTCATGAAAACAACCATTAAACCCGACCATTGTTGGAAAGTATTTCCATCCAATGCAGTTAATAGAGCACCTCGCTCTTCGATGGAACTCCAAGTCTACGCAAAGCTTTCTTCATAGCTACGACGTTGGCTACAATGTTGGTTGTGATAGTGGATAGCATGATTCTGATCATGGACAGTATTATTTTTAAAATCGAGGGGTACGCAAAGCTTTCTTCGGAGCTATGACGTTTTCTATATTGTTGGTTGTGATGGTGACTAGCTTGATTCTGATGATGGACATGACCATCTTTGAAATCCCACAAATTTCTCCTAATAATTTAATTTTATTCGAGATTACATTCTCAATTCTTTGTTGACATTTTGTGATCCTTTAACTACTGAAACATATGTAAGTACACAGATGATTCAATTAGGTTTGAGATTATATATCACCATTGAAGACTGAACAAAAAGAATAAAAAGGGGCATAAGATGAAAATGAAGGCAAAAGGTGATCAGATGAAGATGTATCATAGAGGAAGGATGGAAGCGTGACGGTAGGGGTTTTATTCGGTGAGGTGAAAAGGGGTTGTGTGTGTGTGTGGGGGGGGGGGGGGGAGGGGTGCGAAGGGGTATAATTTTTTTATAGTTGAAATTAGTTTACAAAAATATAAAAGAAATTAAAAAGGGCAAAGAAGTTATTTTATCTGGCTTAGGGACAACCATGCAACATTCACATAAAAAAAAATTAGAAGGGACTGGATTTGTGATTTTTGATAAACCATAGGGACTATTTATGTAATTTTTGTCTAATTTTGCTGATATTTTCATAAATCACATTGGGATATGAAAATTCTCTTTTAACGTTATCATTTTTGCTACCAACTACTAAACACTTTTTATTGAAACTTGCATGGTCTATTGTTTTTTTATTTGTATTGATCTTCGATGGTAGGAAATCTTGGAAACATGTTATTGATAATTGTCCCTGCAATATGCACCGAGGGTGGCAGCCCTTTTGGAGAACATCATATCTGCAAATCCAAGGGACTCTCGTATTCATCATTTTCAATGGCGGTGAGCCGATTTTTTGTTCATTAAATCATGGAAACATGTTATTGATACGCCATGTTGAGATACTTCGGAGTCTTCATTAAAGCTTCGGACTCTCACAACTAAATTTGAACTCAACAATTAAATTTAACCAAATTGTGTTTTATGTTGTGACATCAATCATTAGTGGAATCTAACTCAAGATTATGGTACAGTTGTCCGGTTTATATGTTTGGACATATTCTTTCCAATTAATAAAAAGGTCCGGTGAAAAGTACATGAAAGAAGTCGAGGAATTACTACAAGAACCCAACAAAGACTTGAATGCAAATGAAAAAACTCATCTTCTAAATGGAAAAAGCCAAGAATATATCGATGTAGTTGTGCCATTGTCATTTCCGACTAGTGAAGACAAACAAATACAACCCGTAAGCCTTTACAGTTAAACTAACAGTACGTTGATAATTATGTTGTATAAAAAGTTAATCTTATCATCCACGGATTTGTGCAGAGTGTAAACAAGAATGAGAAAAAAGACAAATCTTTCTCAAGTAAACTAGTCGACATACTCCACATGGTAGTGGAAAAACTCATGGCTCCTCCAACAGTTGGTTCTGTAAGTTTCAGAAAAGCATTTTATAATGATGATACATGTCTACTTGAAGCTTCCTATAATCTAGTTAATCTACCCTTAGATTGTAGGATTGATATTTGGGGCAACCCCATGGCTGAAAAAGCTTGTGATCGGTGATGATGCTCCATTACGAGTGATCCAAGATTCCATCACTCTACTTGGGTAATGTTTGTCTTTGGTTGAATTTAGTAGTTGTGTAAGAACCTTTTGTTTTGGCTTTATTATATATCCAACATTTAAACGTTTTTTATATAAATCTAGTGAAGGAACGATACCTTGTATCACTCTTATACTAGGAGGAAACCTAATACAAGGTAAACAACCATGAAAATTGAAGTTGGTAGCTTCTTAAACCATCATATTTTCGGGATGAAAAATCACTTTTTTTAAAAAAGAAAAGTAATTTGATTTGAAAATCAACTTGATTACAGGTATGAGAAGAGCAAGCATTAGGCCTATTATCATCATCACAATCATTTGTGTACGATTTGTGATTCTTCCCATAGTTGGAATCTTTGTGATCAAGACAGCTTCTGGTTTGGGATTACTTCCTCATGACCCCCTTTTCAGTTTTGTGCTATTGATTCAATACACAGTGCCACCAGCAATGAATATCAGTAAGCAATTTTTGTCTTATGCATTACATAAGATTAAAATACTACAAAAACAAATGGTTGATAATATGATTTGGATACAGGTACAATGACACAATTGTTCGATGTGGCACATGAAGAATGTTCACTACTGACGATGTGGAGTTATTTAGCTGCAGCATTTGCACTTACTGCATGGTCGACAGTGTTCATGTGGATCTTGACATCAAGATCATGATTGTTACACATCATTTTTATGGAGAAAAAAAAACATATATATAAATTTTTTATTTTTTACTTTTACTTATATACGTATCCTAAGCAAGATGGACACTCAAAAAATATCCTTTTTCATGTTACATAAAAATAAACAATCATTCTCAAAATCCATTGACAAGTAGAAAACTGCGTGTATGTCCTAATATCTCTACTGCAATCTTAATACAAGCTAAAAGTAGTATTATATAAAAGTATAAAACAAACAGAGTTTAAATTATTATAATTGTTAAATAAGACTGAGTTGAAGTTTAGGGCGATTGGGTTGTGGTTCAACAACTTCCATGTGGATTTGTACAGTTTGAAGAACACCATAAGCAATTGATCCATCAGTCTTTTTGATCTTCTGTTGCTGTTCATCCACCACCCATTCTCCACCTCCTTTCTCACCTCTCATTGTCAAGTACACAGGTCCTTCAATACCATACCTACATACCAAAAGTCAAATCCATCAACCTCAAAAGTCAAACCATGTAAAAATAATTAACAATTTATATATATAATAAAGTCATACTTTGGCACAAAAACAATAAATCCATTCGCTCTTATCTTCACAATTCTAGCTTCAGTGTCAGTAGGCCTACAAAACCATGATGATGATGATGATGATTATAAAGATGTGTGTGTGTGTGTGTGTGTGAAGTAAGAAGGACTATGTTGGAAATACCTTTTTCTGAAAAATATAATGGTATGAAGCTCAATAGAGGAGCGACTTGCCATCTGAGCATTTCTATGTCGATAATTTAGATCTGAATAAAAAAATTAAATGAGAAATAAATAAACATTTACCATGTTACATAATTGGTTAAAATTTATGAAAAAAAAAATGTTTTTTTTTAATTTCATATTATTATTTATGTCTTACTGTCGGCAATGCTAGTGAGTTGTGGTCTATCTTGGAATATGGTTGGCAGTTTGTATATCCCTAAAGATGCAGCAAGCAATCTGTGCACTATCACATCTGTTGCAACCAATTTTTTTTTTAAATAAGATTCAAAACAAGAAAATAATTATTTTATTTTGACTTTTAATATAATATAATTACCTGCATATCTTCTAATTGGTGAGGTGAAATGTGTATATAAAGGTGCAGCAAGCCCATAATGGTGAAACTCCGGGGGGCTAAGATCCCCACTACAGAAGTAAACAGCCTGAAGTGGAAATTTATTTATTTTGTTCCCATGATTTAAAAAAAATAATAATAATAAGATTTAATGATAGTAGAATACAAACCTGTGTCATACATCTAGTTGCTAGGATACGGATCAATTTATTGAAGTATGGATCATCACCCTGGATTTTTTATTTTTTTATAATAGAAAATATAATAAAAAAGTTAGGTAGAGAGTTTTATAATGATGAGTGAATGAAAATGGAAAGTCAAACTAACCACAGCCTGGTCAAGTGAGTCAGCAAGTGATTTGGATGATGAGACATCAAGGTCAAGGCCAACAGAAGCAGCAGTGCGTAATAAAGGTTCGAGCATTTCTTTTGTTGGACTAGGATGTCGCCTGTAAATAATATTTATTTAATTAATTAAATAATAATAATAATAATATATCCATTAAGGTAAATGTAAAAGTTAAAAGAAAGTGAGAAAGTATTATTAATTAACCTTAAGAGGGAACACTGAGGGAAGCTTTTAAGGATTTGTTCAGCAACTGAAACATTGGCAGCAAGCATAAACTCTTCAACCATTTGGTTTGCTTCTCGAATTTGATACATGCCTATAAGTAGCAAAAATGTAATTTTAATGAATTATCTAATAATTTATAATGTGAATATAGTTGTTTATTATTAAACAAATCAAAATTTTACCAATATCAAGAGGATCATGAGTCTCTGTGTCAACTTGGAATTTGACTTCTGCAGAAGCAAGAGTTATGGCTCCTCTTTCAATACGCCTTTGCCTCATTATCTACAAACCAAATGACATTATAAATATAAAAATAAATAAATAAATAAAGCTCATTATAAATTAAGATGAGAGCTGAAAATACATGTTTAATAAGTTGAATACCTTTGCTAAAGTATTCATATTTCGCAAATCTATAGTTACTGGATCCATAAGTCGGCTGAAAGTTTAAAAAAATGACATTATGAATTATAAAATGAAAATTATTTAAGTAATTTATACAATTAAGGAACTTTCATGCACCTGTCATCCATTCTTGCTTGAGCTTCAACATATGACAAAGCAGCACATGACTTGATGACACTCTTTGTGTATCTAGTAGATATAACATGTGCTTCAGGAGTCATTTCCTGTATTTTTTTTTTTTTTAAAAAAAAAGATTAATTTCTTGTAATTAATATTACCCAACCCAAATAAGTTGATAAAAAACCATACCCATATAACAGAAAAGGCGAGTCTCTCCACATCAGCACGAAGAGAACATATATCTATAAAGTCAATCCAGTCAGAAACTGATAATTCAATATTTATATACTTATATAATGCAAAGTTTATAATTTATATATTTATAAAATTATAAATATAAATACCTTCTGTAAGAGGTTTGGGAAGCATGTCTATACGGCGTTCAACAAGGTAAGTAGAAGTTCCTCTTTGTGTAGCTTCACTATCAAGTGGTGTGCCAGGGTGGACAAAATTCGTGACATCAGCAATATCTTTTCAAATACAGTAAAGGATACATACAAAATAAAAAATAAAAAACTCAATTCTGTTCTTAAATTTATAAATAAAATGGGGCTGAGGATACGAACTCCAACTTCAAAGTTCCCATTTGGAAGCAAAGTACAGTTTAATGCATCATCAATATCCTTACATCCTGCACCAATCAAAAACATTATTCATTTGCAAGACTCAAGACCAAGGGTATTATCGTCTTTTTACCTGGAGGATCCACACTAAATATTCTTAAATGCCTCAAATCCTGTCTTATTGGATTTGACAGATCTTCAGGGGATACTGACCAAGGTAATGGTGGTAAACATGATAACACTTGAGCAGAAAACGGTCTTGCATCTATATCATTCTCTATTAACACAACCTACAAAATTTCCCCAATATTATTTAACATTATAATAATATTTTAATATAAAATTATAATATAATAAAATAATACCTCTGTTTCGGTTTCCCGATCTCCAATATCTCCTATTGTACGAACATAATGACCAGAAGGGTATTTGGATTGACAATCCCAAGTATCAACAGAAACAATAATCCTTTTATCTAGAAGATTCCCAAGTTGTCTTGTTTGGATTCTTATCTTAGGAAACCTCCGATCCTTGGAAACAAATAAAGCATGTGCAATTCCCGCATTGCCAGCTGGCATAGCCATAGGCTCCAAAGATCCACAATATCTGTGTGTAAACATAATCTCAAGTCAAAAACATAAAAGAAAAAAAAAATTACAATTTGTTAAACTCACGCATGCCAATTGCGCTTTATAATCCCAACAACGCGTCCAGAAGGACGAGAAGGGGCAATATTGGAATTTATGGAGGACCCTTGTGGCAAATTTGTAATTCTTGGAGCATCATCTGCACTGTTGGGTGCGAGGTGAATGGAGTCATCTTCTTCATCATCTTCCTCAGCTATGGAAAGGGATTTTTCAGTATGCCATTGATCTTGAGGTAAAAGTTCAACAGCTACAACATCTCCATCAAAAGCTCTGTTCATGTTTCCACGCCCAAATATTATTATTTCATCACCAATACTTTCACTTCCAACGTATGCTTCAAATGGATTATATCGGTTGACTCGAAGTTTTCCTTGATGATATATTCCACATCGGATTCCAGATGTAATTTCTGACATGGGTTTATGCTGCATTACATAATAAACATGTGGTTAAAGTAGATAAAAACTAATTAATTAAACTTTTTGGGAATAGAATATCAATACCTCGGTATATATGACTTTCTTCTTTGAAGGCCTTAAGTCTTCAATTTCCATATCCTCAGAGAAATGAGGTTGAACAAGAAGGTCAAGAAGAGCTGGTTGATTTAGTGATTTCACATATGACTCGATTGTATCTGCTGAAATTCCTTCTTCAGTGGCTTTTCTTTTGTTTTCTCTGTCATTTGTGATCATTAAAACTCTTGTGGGCCCACCAAGATGGTTCTTGTACCACTGTGCTGCTACCCTAATAGCTGAAAGTGTGATATATATATATATATATATATATATATATATATAAGTATCTTACAATATTAATATATTATAATATAGTTTTATTATATGAGAATAAGACAATTAAACCTCTGTCATTGCGATCATTTGGACTTTCTCCTGCCATACCCTTCACATATGTGTCTCTGAAATATATAGAGGAAAATGTCCAGATGTTCAATAACATGTTAAAATTTGATGAACATTTGATTTTGAATATATTGAGAAATCTTATAAATGAATAAGAGGCTTACTTATGGTGTTCATTAGAAAATACAAAGAATCTTCTTAAGGTGTTGCTACATAAGGCTCTCAATCTGTTGTAAACTGCAAGATTCTTGTTCTTGACTTCTTCCAGTACCACAGAGAGCACCACAACATCGTCAATTGCTGGATTTTCAAGCAAATCAATCTAAAACGTAGAAGAAAATGTGTGAGTATATGTAAAGAGAGGTTTAACAGTAATTAGTAACAAAGAAGGTTATTATGAGGGGAAACAAAAAGAAACTTCGCCACAAACATCCTGAATGAATTATCAAATGAAAAAACATTAAGTGTACCTGATTCAGAACAACATTAGTATCAACAACAAGGATTGTGGAGTCAGGGGAGCTGAAACGAGCGCTTTTTGTATCACAATTTTGGCAAAACGAAGCCCCACAGTATATATCATCTCTAAGGTAATGTTCTCTGACCACCTGTGTTCACAAAGCAATTGTTACTCACCATATGTAAAACTAACTGCTGACAATCAAAAGATGATTATGTAAAGTAATTATTAGGGTTATCAAGATTAGGGTTTTCTAAGGGAATGTAAAGTCAAGAACTTACCTTGATAACTTTCCCTTGTTTCGTTTTTCGCACGAATGACTTGTTTTGTAACATGATCTTTTGCTGTTAATCGAGTGTTCCAACTGCGGTGTTTATTATCAGAAGCGAAGAATAAATGAGGGTTTGAGCTCCAACCCTACTCCTATGGCGGCGGGTTATGGTATGTTCGATTCTTGAGTTGCACGCCTCTAGTTTGATTCGTATAGCTCTTCGAATTCTCTGGCGTTGGTATCTGTGAAACGGATTTGAAATTTAAATTGAGGTCGTTTGGGGACGAAGGCAAATGCCGGTGAAGGCCAGGAGTTGGCAAAAGTTATCTCCGGTGGAGAGTGAGAAAGAGGAAGAGAGGCGGACGAAGGGGGCGATGCTAGTGATAATTATAGAGAGACGGGAGCTATATGAAGTTGAGGGCAACGAAACCAATCCCATGGATATGGATTTTGATATTAAATTTTTGGGAAATAGAAATAGAAAGGATTTATAAAAACCTATACAAACAGGATTCTCTTTAAATTCTGGGATTTATAATTTTATTTTTAATTTTCTCAACTTAAACATAAGATTTTTCTAGGGGTGAATTGTGTTCTAGAAAGTAGAAACCTGTCCGAAAAGGGAAGTCAACTTATTAAGGTAATTAATTTTTCGGTTTGTTCACATCTGGTTAACTATTTCTTTTTGTACACAACAAACTTTTCGGAAGTGTGCACATATGACCATTATAACCGGTAGTCGGAGTTGAAGTCAACACCACAACCCATTTGTCTCTTCATTGAATTTTCCGCCACCACAACCCAATAGAAGGGTTGTGGTGTTGGTGCGTCGGAGTTGAAGGACCGAAAAAAGAAGGGATGGTGAAGACGTTAATGTCACTACAGATGGAAAGGAAATAGAAGTTCAGAATGATGAAAGATGGGATGGTGACTGGTAGGACCCAGCTTAAATTTCTCAAATGTGGTTTCAGGTTTAGGGTTTCCTACGTATTTAAGCCCCTTTAACTCGATTCTAAGGTTCATTTCTTAGCCTCTACCCACCCCCACCCCTCCCCCCCTCAACCTCAGAAAAACCCTAATCCTTTCCCTCTTAGTGGTTTTGGCTCATTTTGGGTAGATTTGGTGCCCTTGGAAGGAAGTGAGGAAGTATTGGTGCAAGGATCAAGCTAGCAACACCTTTCAAGCTTGGTTATCACCTTCTGGACCATTTGTAAGGATTCAAGTCTCTACCTTTTTAGTTATTCTCTTAGATCTAGGTTGTTTTTTGTCTCTTCTTGGTTCGTAGAGTTTATTTGAGTGAATGGATGGAATAAAGTTGGCAACTTTATTGCTCTCTTGTATCCCTTGAGCATCATATGTTATGGATATGAAGTTTAGTTGGGATTTGTGAATCTTGATTGAGTGTTAGGTCATTTCCTTACCATTTGACCTAAGTTGAGTTGAGGACATGCATGTCCATCAAGTAATCATTTTTATGGACCTTTGCTAGCTGTCTGTGTGACTCTTACATATGTTGTATGTGTTTCTATGTATGTTGGGCGGGGCCCGATGGTTGTCGGGCAAGGCCTATTGTATTTATGGTATGTGGTATTTTGGGGAAACTCACTTTGTGTTTACAGTTTCATGTTATGGTTTCAGGTACTTCTAGTTCAGAAGTGAAGGGTCCGGCGTGACTACACACTAAAATTTATTCCGCATTTGATAAATTGTGATTTTTACTTTGATGTTTAGATACTATTTTCACATTGAATGATTTTGGCAGTGTCGAGTCTAGAATAGAAAACTACATGGTTCACTAATTTTGGTATAGAAAGTTTTCTATACAAATTCAAAGATTTTATAGGTAAGGTAGTTCCTAATTTTTTTTTAAGCTAGGTCACTAAAAAATTTCTATAGAAATTTTAGATAAATTAAAAAAATTAGGTGGGTCATTGGACCCACCTTAGTTGCACTTAGCCTCGACCCTCATTTTGGGATTCGCATGTTATATGATTTAATGTTTTAAAAATGAAAATTTATTCTGAGTTTTTGGGACGTTACATATCCCATGTCAATTGCATGAAAGACCATGGGGTAGCCCATGACACTTGGATGTTAGACCATGTGGGTAGCCCATGACATTTCAAGGAAGGACCATAGGAGTAGCCCACTGCATTTTACTCTGATCGTCTTTTGGGATAATGAATAAATGGTTTTGACTTATTTAAAATGAAAATTTTACTTGGTATTTTTGGGATGTTACACATGTTCTCTTACAAAGTAAAAATCCATTTTCGACACCTTTCTTCCATTCGTGGAAAACATGATTTTTGGCAATGTGTCTGACAGCTTGATTATCATAGAAAAATGCAGTTGGCCATGTTGGTGTCACTTGCAAAGTCTTCAATACCAACGTACCCAAAGAACTTCACTGACAATAATTGTCATAGCTCGGTATTCTGCTTCATCAAATAAACATGAAACCACAGTTTGTTTCTTCGTCTTCTACAAAATCAATGTTCGTCCTAAAAGAAGCAAGTAATCGGTCCTTAAGAGCCTTGTAAAAGCACATCCCAACCAATATGCATCGGTCACAATATGCAACGTGGTCCAAACCACTATCTTATGGTATTAATATATCCTAACTCAAAGTTGTCTTCGGAGTTATCTTTGAATACCAAAGCACTCTTAAAAGTTGCATTCATGTGTTGTACTCTAGGATTTGAAACAAACTAACTGAGCTTGTTGACTGGATATGCGATGTCAGACCTACTTGCTTGAAGATAGCTAGAGTAACCTACCCATTAGACGTTGATATTTATTTGCTTCAACCTGTGGGTTATCATCACAATCATCTAACTACAAATTTTGCTCCTTGGAATATAGCTAGGTTTTCACCCTTGCATTCCATTGTCTCCCAGGATGTCAAAAGTGTATTTAAGTTGATTTAGAAAAAGCCCATCATGTGTCTTAGCCACCTCGAACCCTAGGATATATTTTAATGGGCCCACGTCTCTAATGTTAAACTGATTTATTAAGTTGGTCCTTTATTTCACGTATTCTTGTTGCGTAGTTTCCGACAATGATCACATCGTCTACGTAAATCAAGTTTGTAACAAAAATACTTCCCTTATTGTGTATGAAAAGAAAGGCATCAACATTTGACTACTCGAAGTTTAACTGAGTTAACGACATTATAAACTATGGTACGTAAGGCATGATGAAGTCCATAAAGAGACTTCCTCAATCTATAAACTCTTGTATCTCCTTCCTTTGCAAAACCTTATGGTGTTTTCATGTATACTTCCTTGCGGAGGTCCACATGAAAGAAAGAATTGTTAATGTCAAAATGATGAATGATCCAATCATTCTTTGCAGTTATAGCAAGTAAAGTCCTAAAAATAGGTGTATCGTGGAAGACAACACCTTTCATTTGTGTAAATACATTCACCATTAAACATGCCTTTTACCTTTCGACTTCACCAATCGGCTTGTATTTTATCTTGGAAATCCACTTGGAGTGAATGGTACGTTTTTCCATACCGGTAAATATTCGAAGGTTCACGTTTTGTTTTCTTCAAGTGCTTTTATTGCTTTCTTTGCATGGTTTCCAGCCACCTACATTTTTTATGTTTGTTTAAAATGCTTTGGCTTATCACTTAAAAGTTTTACATATTACAAATAAAAGTTAAAAAAATAAAAACTTTTAGCTTTGATATCCAGACTTTGGAAAATTGTAACTCATTGAATATTGAACCAAAATTGATGAAATTATAACCTAAATTGAAGTAAAAAAACTTTAAACTACGTATTGGAAAATATCTCATGTTAATCCGAATCAAAACGAAAGAATTATGCAATTTTGAAAAGTTTTAAAGAGTACGCATAAAACTGAAAAGCTAAAAAACTTTTAGCTTTAATATTCTAATTTCGGGGGACTTCAACTCATTAAACACGGAACCAAAAATGATGAAATTATAGCCTAATTTGAAGTAAAAACATTAAACTACATGCTGAAAATGGTCACATGTTAATCCGAAAAAAGACAAGAGTTCTGGATTTTTTAAAAATTTCACAAAATACACATAAAAGCTAAAAGGTTGAAAAACAGTAAAAAGATGTGATTTCATGTACCGGTCCATAACCGAGAACCGGTGTATCGAACACTAGTAAAAAACTAAAACCAATTGAGTGTGATTTCATGTACTGAGAACCAAACTGATAATATAAAACTGTCATGATCCAGGTATGGGTCTCGTTCGAGTCCGTATGCTCACCCCTAGGCACTCCCAACTAAGTTGTTCAAGGTTTGCAAGACAAAAATGGGAATGATGGAAATAAGAGATTTGAGTTAGAGGAATTTGTTGAAGATAAATTCAAATAATGTCAACTTTTCATAAAAAGAAAATTTCAACTTGTCAGCCAACTATTCTTTCTATCAGTTTTTCCGTTTAGTGTAGTTTTATTAGGTTCATGTGACTTAGGTTGTAGTTAATTATCTACATTCCTAATTTCCTATCATCCTATGTACTTAAACTATTGTGGTTATTTAAATGTTCAGAAAGTGTAGATGTTAGAGTTTAAGCACTTCAACAAATGATTCAAACGATTTTACATAGAGTACTAATGTATAGAAAACAAAGAACATAATATTTAATGTGGCTTACATGATCAAAGTGATCAGCTACGTCCACAAACAAACACAAGAGATAGATTTTATTGATTATTATCGAATGGCTTACATACAACATGCTACACAAATTCAAAAGGTATATTTATACTAATAAGTTGACCTAAAAAAACTATCAATCCGGCCAAGCGCATGATTGGTCAGCCGAGCGACTATAAGGTCAAATGATGATCAATCATACTCCACAAGTCAATATAAGGTATGTGATTCACAAGATGCAATAAAAGCCAGTAGCCTTTTCAAAGTATACCTCTCTGTTCCATGTTTTCCCTCTCCTTTGAAATCATTGTGTTAAAATATAGCCATTTTTTAATATGTTTGAGCTCATGATTGATTAGTACTTTACAATTCAATCAGCACTTTACAATACCAATACAATATTCTAAGATAAACATCATGCTTATCCTCAGCTAAATCTGTACCCACTTAACTTGCTATTTGCTATGGCTAAATCTAAAAATGCCCGGAACAAAATATTACAAATTAGATTGAAAAGATGGAAAACAAGCGACAAGATACCCTTTCTTGACGGATTACTTCGTCACAAAAAGCATCTTCACAACGACTACAATGATCGATGAGTTTCATCATTACGAGCTGTTTAATGACAAATCTCTCCTACTAATTTTATTGCTATAAATCGATTCATCATTTGCATTCATCCCACTTGAACTTCCCTCGAAATGTTTTCTCTTGGAATGTGTTGTTACTGTCTCTTTTCTTTCATCAACAAATGAAATGAACGTTTGAAGGCGTCCAGATTGAAGACTTCTCCCGCTAGACTCAGAAAGAGTTGGATAGTGTTTGATAAATTGGTGGATTATTTGTGCAAAGTATATGATGAGAGCAAGCAAACAAACTATTCCACATATAATGAAGAGGCCTTTAAAGCTCGTTAGTTCCAGCTGCTCTACTTCAAACTTTGTTCCCTGTGAGCTGCATGCACTTCTCATCAACCACTTGTCATGGATCCTTTCTAGTTCACCGTTTTCTGATAGTTCTAGAATAGCCGTGGACATATCTGCTGCTAGAGGAGAGTCTCGTGGAAAGGCCTGTGATAAAACAAAATAACAAAACAATACTATCAATCATTTTATAACTCAAATTGTGAAAACAGAAGTATGACTTCCAACTTACGAATCCCCATCCAGTTTTGGTAAACTCTTGACCAACGATGCTGTATTCACAACGGGTTGAAAGGAAGAGTTCAATGTATGAGCGTTGATCGACTATTGCAGCAACACCACCGTTGTGGGGACCATCTATTAGCGCTTTTTCATATTCTTCAGGCAATGAAAGAGGAATCAGCCGAGAAGCCTGAATACCAAGTTCGCCTACAAGATAATCACTCACAAACGTATTCTCTTGGTACCCAATGGGCTCTCTGCTTTGTATTAAGCTTTCGATTCCTGTAATAGGCGTGGAAAGCTTCTGAACTGTTAATATTGAGGTCAAACTAGCTGTATAACTCGAGTTTATTATGAGAACCACAAATAACCATAAGAGTACAACCATACGACCAAGAGTGCTGAGCGTGTTTTCTCCTGTATAAACAATAACCGAGTAAGATTATATATTATATGACATCTTGTTTGGTTTTGGAAACATGAAAGGGACACTTACTGTGGGAGGAAAACAGCGTTGAAAAGCTAAACCTGAAAAGGAACAAAATCCATTTGTTTAGATCCTGCTTCCTCATAAAAATAGCAAATTTTTGTAAGATACTACAGAAAGACACTTACCATAGAACTGTGACAAACTGTTGTCTTGGAGGACCACGAAATTCGTCGTTTACACGATGTTCTAGAATCCATACAACAGCTCCCACAATTAAGAAAAAGATTACTGAAATAGTCCACATTAAAGGAGAGAATGGTCTAAGAAAAGCCCATGTACTAGAGCCCGACCTCCTAATGGGCACAACCACAACAAGCCCAGATTCGATAAATGGTTGTGTAAAATCTGCGAGTCGTGTCCGATTTGTAGTGATAACTATGTCGCCCACCACAGCATCATAAACCTGTATTGAATTTCAAAAACTTTAGCAAGAAAGTATAGTGAGAATCGATCATGTGGGATTATATTGCTTTAAGTCTCTTTATATAATGATCGGAAGAAATTAGGAAGAAATACTCACACCATCGTGTATCAAGTTCACAAGCTTGGTGTTACTTGGGTTCCTAACTCCATCTCCATATGATAGAAACTTATATGGCAAAGCGTACGGAAGTAACTTTGTAGCAGATGTAAACACATCAATGCAGTATCCTTTGAATGAATCACTGTGTCTTGCTTTTCCCACAAATTCCTGAAAACTGACACGATGTGGAACACCGATTTTCATCTGCTTTCCGTTATCTGGGAAAACCCATCCACGTGGTTTTTGGACTGTTAAACCAGGCCAAATCACTGCGTGCAATAGCTCAGAAGAACTTGATTGATGATCAGATTGCTTTGTGTTGACTTTATCTGGACGAATAGTTGACAAACCCGAAGAATTTGACCAATACCCGATCCTCCTAACACCAGTGCCAACCACATTAATAACTTCGAATGCAGGAAAAACAAGGTTTTTATCAGAAGTAAACTCGATAAGTCCTGTTAATCCTTCCATTTTGACATCTAAGATGTCATGAAGCAGCAAATTCCCTTCATTGAAGATACTCAAAGAACCATAATTCAAGATTTCTCCTCGTAACCCTTGTAACTTGGGATCTTTTGAGAATGAAATGTTTCCACCTTTATCAAAGAAAGTGTCAAGCGCACGAGCAAGCAGCCAAACAGTGTCGTATGCGTATAAACAGTAAGTATTCAAACCAAACGTTGTCAAGTTTTTCCACTCAGAAGCAAACTTTCTTGTAAGGTTTGAATCTTTTGTGTATGCTTTTAATGTGATAAACCCTTGCATAACATCAATTGTCTTGAGAGATAGTGATGAGGAGGTAGTGTCTATGACTGTTGAGAGCCAATTAGTAGCGATCCAAACATACCCACTATCCAACATGCCAAGGTGTTTAGCCACGTCAAGTATATCCAATCCCCTATCTGCATACGTGTGGACAACAAGAATTCTTGACTCCATTAAAGCAACTTTAACCAACACATCGCTTATGTCTGTTCTTGTTGCTAGTGGCTTAATAGGTGCTTTATGGGAGATCTGAGATCCTCTAGATGCTAATTGATCTCCTAATGATATTATTCCATTTCTTCCAAGATCATCATCTACGTAAATTGCTGTTACTTTTTTCCATTCATAGTACTTGATTATGTCTGCTATGGCAGCCATTTGATAAAGATCACTGTGAGTTGTGCGCACAAAGAAAGGATACTGAAGGGAAGATAATGTAGGATCAGTGGCTGTGTAAGACAATAGAGGAACTTGGAGCTCACTTGCCACTTGTGATACCATATGAGCTATGACTGAACTTTGGGGGCCTATTAAAGCCACAGTTTCTGTCTCCATGACTTGTAAAGCTGTTATCAGAAACAAGTTAAATCCCACAAACTATATATAAGTTAACATTTGTATTTGATGAAACTGGTTTTTGACTTCTATTTATACTAGAAAATATTTTTAAAAAAAATTAGTGACGGAATTCGGTCACTGAAAATAATTTAACATAGTAACTAAAAATATGTCGCTAAAATTCGTCACTAATACATGGTTTTCTGGTTGTAAAACTAAGCAAGTGTTTAAAAGAGTTACTTACCCTCCATTATACTCAGAAATCCACTGTAATTCGCATCATGAAGATTTAATTTCAGCTTGGTTCCATTAAGAATAGTGGGATCAGAATTCACATCTTCAATTGCAGCTTGTAAAGCGATTTTTGCCACTTTTCCAATGATTGAATCAAATGTCAAGATAGATGCAATATGTACGACATCTGGTCTTGTAGAAACATTGGTATTCTCAAGCCCTTCGGAGAACCATCCACCAAAATCAACCACCAACACAAGAAAAGCCCAAACTAGATTCTTAGGCATTTCTATTTCGTACACCCTGTTATGTAAAACAACACAAGAGAATTTTACTTTAAGTAACTTTAGATTGATCAAATAGCATGCATGGCTATATAAAAACGAACAGTGAAGTAAACTTTTGACCAAGATAGGTGATAGTAGCTAATTCTGAGCAACTATTTGGGTACTAAGTTTACAAGTAAATAGTTTAGAGAAAGTTCAAGTGACAAAAAGAACAAAATTCTCAAAAACCATTTATGCGGAATAACAAACATGTTGTGTTCAACTTCATAGTGCTAAGAAGAAATAACCCATCAACCTAATCGGTACAAGTACCAACATACAAAAATAAGCCTCAGTCCACAACTCAATGGACAGATAAACGACATAAGAACATAAGGTTTTTTAAACACAAGAAAACATATGATATTGTGAAAAATACATATACGTGTTTGTACATGAGAGAGAGAGAGAGAGAGAGAGAGAGAGAGAGAGAGAGAGAGAGAGAGAGAGAGAGAGAGAGAGAGAGAGAGAGAGAGAGAGAGAGCAGACTAATAAGCAACCATCCACAGTGATACAAAGAAGAGCAACGAACACAGAAGGAACTAAATGAGAGGAATTTGCAGCAGGGAGCAGATTGGCCGGTGGGTCCTGGTGCTGTAGTATAGCCAAAATTCAAAGAGGGTCGTTTCATGTATGGTGTAGAAATTTTCTTGCTATTTTTGGTGATAACGATAATTATCACTTTCACTGGCGTTCTTGAAGCATTTATGGAACATTGATGTCTTACTTTGTTGGTTTCTTCACGTGATCGACCTGTGAATGGTGTGAAGAAATTTCAATCTTTCTGGCGGTAATTGCCACTATTTACTTCAAACATGTACATGTGCGATATAGACGAATCGGGAGTTTCTTGCCACGTGTTTTGTTGAAAGATCATTCTCTCGAATCCAATCTCAACTTTGTAATGTTTCCTTTTTAATCTTTTGAGCATTTACTTGGAGAGGTTTGTGCAGGATTTAATGGGGAGGTGACGTGCATAGAATCTATTTCAAATCTCCAATGGCTTCCGACCAATCGTCATGCAATGGTTTAATGGGCTTTTCTATCTATAAAATAATTATTTATCGACTAAATTGCAGAAATCGTCCTTGTGGTTGGTCCAATTTTGCAGTTTTAGTCTTAGTTTTTTTATTTTGTCAAAAATGGTCTCTGTTGTTGCATTGGAGGTTTGGATTACACATTTAGTCCCTTGCCTTGTTACCTTCTAATCCATCTCCGTTAATGTAACACCCATGTTTTAGATTGGTTTAACTCAATATTTATCAGGGACCAAAAATTGAGTTTTGGGAAAAACTCTTTGCCACGACGTGGTGCAAGGATGCCCACAACGTGGCATGGAATAAACTGAACGCGTGTTTTAATGAGTGTCACGGCGTAGCAATAGGTTGGTCACGACATGGTAGTTGTTCTAGCCCAAGCCCGTAAATTTAAGGTTTCCTCCCATATTTAAGCAACATTTCCAGAGGATTAGGGCATCCTCTTTAGCCTCCAACCCTCTACCTAAAAACTCTGGCCTCCCTTAAAGAGTTTTGGTTCATTTTGGTATTCTTGGTGATTTGAAGAAGAAGAATAAGGTGTTTTGGCGCATTATTCCAGCAAGCAACTTCATCATCACCATCTTGAGCATATTCTGGACCCTTGTGGGTATTCAAGTTCCAAACTTTCTAGTTTGTGCTTCTAGATCTAGGGTTCTTGTCCCTTTTCTTCACATCGTGAGAGTTTGAAGAAATGGATTCCATAAAGTTAGCAACTTTATGGATCCTAGAGGTCCATTTGAAGTTATATGTTCCAGATCTAGTGTCCATTGGTGTATTTGGCCTCATACTTAAGTTTGAACCCTTTTTCTTCCTTGGTTTTGACCTATTTTAGGTGAGAAATGCATTGGACATGCATGTCCATAAAGCATAAATTTTTATGGTGTATTTTGGGTTTGAAGGTCCTCTGTAAAGTTTTGTTGGGTGACTTGGTTGATTAAGAGCTTAATGAGTTAACTCATTTCTTAAGATGTCATTAAGGACTTAGGGTTAGAAGTTTTTGTTGAATTTATATGCCCAAGAATCATTATGGAGTGATGTTGCTAATAATATATGATCCTATAGGGTCACACCTTTATCAAGTTGGCACATTTTGTATATTTATTATTAATACGATTATTAATAAATAATATCAATTATTGTATTTAATTAGGGAATAATTATTGTTTTGTGAAAATAAATAATTATAAAAGAGTATAACTAGTTATTATTTCATATGGTATAAATTAATAAGTCATGCACAACATTTTGGACTAGTTGGATTCTTTTGTCTTTTACCTAAAGACAAAGTTTATATTTTATAAACTTAAGAGTTTATAAAAATTGAATAATCCTCCTCTTTTCAAGAGGTATGGCTAAAAATATTAAAATATGGGGTTACTTGTCAACCTCCAGGCCTTGTCTCCCATGCTCCTTATGTTAGTCATTATTTTAGAGTATTTTAATCGTTATGCCTTACTTTGTATAGATTATATAAGAGATGCATGAGACTTGCATTTTTGCTAAGAAAAACACTCTTCTTCCTCTCTATTCTTCACCAAAACCATAAGATGCATCTTGCATCTTCTCTTGCTTTCTTTTGAAGATTATTCAATATTTGGTGGCTTAAAATGTTTCTCCTTTAGTGCTTATTTGAGTTAAGCACTTAAAGGCTGAAGAAGTATTTTATACAAGAAGGAACTAGCATTCCAAGTGTCTTACTTTTGATGGTGGATACTTGTAGAGAATATCATATTCTTTGATCTTTTCATCTTTATCAACACCCCAAAACCAAGTGGGTTCAAAGGCTTCAAAGGTTGTCATTCTAAACACTCTTTGGTTGTGTTTTTTATTTCATTCTAACCTCTATAAATGGATTCATGATGGGTTGGTTTTGTTATGAACTAAAAATAAACTTGTTAATTTTAAAGTCTTCCGTTGTTGGTTTTTGTGAAAAAAAAAACTTATATTTTGTATCAAAACCCGTCAGTAGTATCAGAGCCATCTTTTATATGTTAGAATGATTTTTTATGTTTGATAATCTTTGGTTTTTGGAAAACCAGTATGAATTTCTTTTGGTTAAGAAAAATTCATATTTGTCTTCTTTGGCAACTTCTTGGTTAAAAATTGTTTATTTTTTATATATAATCATTTTTCATACATTTTGGTTATATAAAAGTTGCCTTAGAAAAAACAAATAGTTGTTTGTTATAATATTTGATATGTTGTTGTGTATAAACAAGTCATTTGGACCTTTGTGTTGTGTTTGGTTGATATTTATTTATTCATAAGATGTAATAGATAAATTGGAAATTTTTCATTTGTTGATTTGTTGTAATAAATTAGTTAGACTGGTTGTATTTTATTTTAAATGTAACAAGATGAAGAAATGACCACCTTGAAGATGACTTAACCATTTAAGATCATAATTCCAACCATAAGCTTCTACTTTTGGTTTTGGGCTTAATTATAGTCTTAATGATTTAAGTGTTGTAACTTACAACATGAAGATTTGAAGTCCTTTTGCAAGCAAGAGTTGACTTGGCAAGTTAGAGCTTGAAGACTTTTTGAAGTGTCTCTTAAGTCCTTTAGGAAAGACTTAATAATTCTTGTGATGACTCACAAAAATTATTACTAGATATGGCTTGGTTTATACACATTAAAATGCATGCATATGATGTTTATTTTTATGTTATTATATGTTATGTTTTGTGTATGAAAATGAGTTTTACATGTCAAACAATATTTTAACATAAGATAATATCATTTGGAGTTTGAGTAAAAAATATTTAAAAGATAACATAAGATGTTTATAAAATGGTAGACTTGACAATTCGTGTATTCGTGTCATAAAAACGTGTCAGCCACGAATTTGACACGACACGATTACACTACGTGAAATAAGATTTATCTCAAATTTTAAGATGTATTTGTGTCGTGTCGTGTCTCTCACAGATTCGTGTATGTCTGTCTTAAATTGCCAGGTCTAATAAATGGATATTTATAAAAATGTTTTTACCGGTTAAACGGTTTACCGATTAAAAATTGTTTTTTTTTGTTGAAAATAGTTTTATTGTAAAACTTATAAACATCCAACTTTAAAGTATTTGAACTGGTTTAAAAGATGTTTAAACATTATATAAACTCCATGTCTTTATAATAAATAATGAGTTTTTATTAAAAAGGCTAAAATCGGTTTATAGCGTTATAACGACAAATAATAAAACTAGTGATTATTTTTTGCGTCTGAACATAATATGATATTGGGTGTTTTAAACATAACGCAACATGTTGATATTATCTTTTATGCATTCCAAATGAGATTTAAAACATAAGTATCATCACTCAAGTTTTGGTTTATCAAAATATGACTTTTATCATAAGATGCATAAAGTTGAGTTTATAAAATAAAATGAGTTTATTCTACAAATTCATAAAATCATAAGATTTTGATTGTTGAAAGGAGATCTAAAATAGTGATTTTATAATTCATCCAAAACTCCAAGTCTTAAATATAAAATGAAGTTTTATTAAGACTACTACCGGTTCTTAAAACCGATCTACGACTAGACTTTAAAATACCGAATTTTAGTTAATAATTGATCGCGGCTAATGACAAATAAAATGTAGTTTTATTTGACACCTAAAGAACCTCATAACAAGTTATATGAATTTTACAAAAGGGTACATGAATTGTTGGATGCATGCAATATTCATGAGACCATGTTTTTATAAACTATAAGTGTAAAACATATATAAAACCTTTTCTAAAAATGCAAGTCATTGTCGTCCTTTTGAAGAACACTCGTTATCATTTGTATGGTCTTAGTGTCACAGGGTCAACTGGTCATTAGGATTGGATTATGATGTTCATGGTAGTTTTGTAGTTTCTGGTTTCTAAAGGGCCACCTTGTCACTGGTTAGTTACAATACTACAAGTTGTTTCAAGTAGGATGAATTGATCGGAATCTTGTGTGATAAAGGTCACTTAAGCATGAGAGGTCTGAGGCATAGATGGGATAAACATGCCAAGTTAAGCAATAGTTGTTTAGGATCCCATAATCTAGGAGTTACATTTTGTATGCAATTGATAATCGCTACATACCGAGTTTGATTAAGTTTATAGGATAAAGGTCACCTAACCATTTACTTGTTTCGTTACTTGGATCCTAGACTTTAATAAATTAATGTTTTAAGAAACAAATAAAAGGTATTATTTTTAAAGACTAAATATTGAAAATACTAAATGAAACTTTGTTAAACTCTGTTAATAACTGTTAATACTCTTACGCCCCGCAAAATCTCTCTCTTGTTGAGCTTCAAGAGACAGTAACATTTGATGATTATAATTTCTATATCCGGTATAATATCTTGAGGTCCTACCTTAAGGATAAATAGAAATTATATATACTGAAAGATCTCATACCGGAATAACCTCTGCAACCAGTCAGTTTGATCATGATACTTTGATGGAAGTATTATTGTGATGATGTCGATGTGTCGCACATCATACTGGAGTAATTAACCCTGACTTGCAAAAAGTCTTGAATAATTATGAAACATGTCAGATGTCTCATTAAGTAAAGTGGATATTCAATCAGAACACTTGAAAGTGCTT